TAGAAAGAGACGGGAAGGACCTGTCACCTCCCACTTAGTAAATGTTAAAACTTTGTTATCCACAGGCAGAGTGGAGGGGCCTGGGGTAGGGACAAGTCTAGGATCCCCTGTGTACAAACTGTCATGTTGCTGCTTTCCCTGTGTAAAACATGGGGAAGAGGCTGCTTTCGATGAACTTGTTGACATCAGACAAAGTGGGGGTGGGGTGGGGTGAGGACAAGGGCCATGTCATTCATCTCAAGCCTCCCTAAAATCAGACCTTAGAGAGACTGTCAGAGTTTGCATAGAACTTTGTTCAAAAGAGAGTGTAATTCTGGCTTATACTGTCAGAATCTAGAAATTAAAAAGTCAACTTTTAATTTGTATCCCATTATGACACCATACCTTTGACACTATAAATTAATATTTTTAATAAATTCAACCATTATCTTGTGAATGGGACAACTTTGTTGCACTGTATTTTGGTGTATTAAAGGCATATTGCTTGTTAAATGAAAATAACTGGAATGCACAGAACTTTTCGGTAACCCATTTTCTCCCAACATTTTATTATGAAAAATTTCAAATATACTGAAGAAGTTGAAGGTGAGCCCCATTCAGCTACCATGTACATTCAACAATTGTTAAAATTCTGCTACACCTGCCTCATCACAAGTCAATCTCTTGGTCCACCTATCAATCAAGTGAATTGGTATCTGAGTTGCCGAGAAACACCTTTCCTGCCCCTAAACACATCAGCATGTGCATCAGTAACCAGAAGTCAATAAGTTTGTGGGGATTTTTAGGTAAAACATGCATAACTTGACATTTGACTCAGAAGTGCACCATTCGATGAGTGTGGACCATGGCCAAACCTCTCTCAAGATACACAACGTTCTATCACCTTAAAAAGCTCTCTGCCCCCTTCCAGTCAATCCAGTCCCACTTCCAGCTCATCCCCACTTTCACCCCATAGGCAACAACTATTGATTTTTTTCCACTATAGTCACAAACCACCTTTGCTATTTATATCGTTCTATTCCTGAAACCTCAATAAATAAAAGTGATCTAAGATTCTCTCAACATCTGTGAGGTACAGAGAACTACCTTACTATTCTTTAAAAATAAAAATCACCAAATCATCTCTGTGTCCCTCTAGGTCTAAGAAGGCAGAGTGCAAATTCCAAATAATTAGCTACTTTTAAGCCCCTGAGTACAAGATGTCATTTTCTTTACTGCAAACAGGGAAAATTAAGCTTGCTGTGGCTGTTTTTATGGATCACTTCAGAATAGATCAACGATTGACCATAAACTTTTTTAGAGAACACATGGTTCTTTGAATCTTTTTTTTGGTTCTTTGAATCTTTTGAAGCAGAAATACAACCCCTTCCTCCCCCCAAAATTAAGAATTGATATGCGTCCCAATTTTTTCAGGCAAAAATTATCAATGGATACAAAAATGGGTACAAGTTTGAGGAGTGTGGGGATATTTACATAGGGTCAAAGTATTTCCCCACAAGATATATATAGCAAGGATATATAGCAATTTGACAGTGGAGAAACAAGGCAGACACTACCTTAACCAAGGATGAAAGTTAACGTCACCAGTGATTTGGACAAACTCACACCATGAACTTTCTGATAGGATGCACAGAAAAGGCACATCACCACTTCTGTGGAATTTGTGACAAAAATGCACAATCTGAATCTAATGATAAAGAAATATCAGAAGACCAACCTGGGAGGCATTTTATAAAATAACTCAGAGCATCCACAATGGCAACAAAGTAGGTGGAAGTTACACTCACCTCCTTCTAGGACCAAATTGGAATTACAACTAAAATATAGAAAAACCATCCTGAATAATCAACTGAAGACTAGCTGGAGAGAACCCTTATACCAAACTCTTTCTAGAGGCCAGCATTATCCTAATTCCAAAACTAGATAAACACACTACAAAAAAAGAAAATTATAGGCCAGTATCCTGGATGAACATAGATGCTAAAATCCTCAAAAAAATATTAGCAAATCAGATCCAGCAATACATTAAAAAGATCATACACCATGACCAAGTGGGCTTTATTCTGGGGATGCAAGGATGGTACAATATTCACAAATCTATAAATGTGATACATCACATAAACAAAATAAAGGATAAAAATCACATGATTGTATCAATAGATGCAGAAAAAGCATTCAGCACCCGTTTTTTAATAAAAAATCTCAGCAAAGTAGGAATAGAAGGATCATACCTCAACATAATAAAGCCCATATATGAAAAACTTACAGCCAACATCATACTCAACAGGCAAAATCAATAAATTACCTTTATTGATTTCAAAGAGAGGAAGGGAGAGGGGGAGAGAGAGATAGAAACATCAATGATGAGTCATTGATCCACTGCCTTCTCCACGAGCCCCCCCNCTCTCATCATTGATGTTTCTATCTCTCTCTCTCCCTCTCCTTTCCTCTCTCTGAGGTCAATAAAGATATATTTTTTAAAAAAATATATAAATAAGTAAACAAACAAACAAACAAATAAAAGTGGGCCAAGGGGATATGGACACATACCATNAAAAAAAATATATAAATAAGTAAACAAACAAACAAATAAAAGTGGGCCAAGGGGATATGGACACATACCATGCACCAGTCCAAGTGCTAGGTACTGGGCATGCAACAATCATCAGGACAAACCACTTGCTTGTTCTCATGGAGCTTACCTTTCAGTAGTGGAATAGAAAATATGCCAATACACAAATCAACAAATAAATAATATAGCGAAAGGTGTGATAAGTGCTATGAAGGAAATAACAAAGGGTGAAAACATCCAGGACTGGGGAGGCCACTCTAGATAAAGTGGTTTGAAGAGGGGCTATTTGAGCTGACTCTTAAAAAAGAATGAGAAAGAATCTATGTCTCAGTCCATTTGGGCTGCTTTAATAAAAATACCATAGACTGCATGGCTTATAAATAACAAATATTTATTTCTTACAGTCCTGGAGGCTAGGAAATCCAAGATCAAGGTGCTAGCAGATTCGGTGTCTGGTAAGAGCCAGCTTCCTCAGAGCCCCGTCTTACTGCACCTTCATATGGCAGAAAGGACGAGGGATTGCTCTGCATCCTCTAAGGACACTAATTCAATTCATCTTCCAGAGAGGCCCTGCCTCCTAATACCATCACCATGAGTGGTAGGATTTCAACAGATGAATTTTGAGGGACACGAACATTCAGACCATAGCAATTTACTAAGGAAGGACCTGGGGCAAGAGCTTTCCAGACAATAAATAGCATATGCAAAAAGCCTATGTCAGCAAAAGTGACAAATTCTAGAAACTCTAACAGTAAAATATGGTCAAAGATGTTGTGTGAGGTAGACAGAAGCAGGGTCACGCAATTCCATGAAAAGACACTTCAAAATATTAGAATAAATGTAAATTAAAACTCTATGTGAGACAGAATTTTGTAGCAATTGGATTGGCAAAGACCCAAAGGTTTGGAAAGACTCTACTAGTAAAACATGTGGGGAAACACACACTCCTATATATTACTGTGGGAGTGTCCATTAATACAATGTCTAAAGAACAATTTAGCCATATGTATCCAACGTTTGAAAGAAAAAAGGAGAGAGAACATATCCTTTACCATAGCAATTCCTGTTCTCAGAATTTTTCCCATAGACATACCTACACATGGGCACAAAGAGAGTCCCTGGGATCCTGTAGCATTGTTCATAGTAGCAAACATCTAGAACAAGGGGCCATGTGGACTGAGGGCAATACCCGCTGCCCAGTCCTGGTCTGCCATGCTGTCCCTACATCCCATCTAGCTGGCTCCCACTCAGTCACAAGTGTCCCCGACGTGACAATAAACTTAAGGCCACTGTGTGATTGAGGGTCCCGCTAACGCTGTCCCAGGGCCTCCCCTGAGACGGAGCCGAGGTTTCCAGGAAGGGGGCACCCACGCCTCCTTGGGCAGCCCAATCTCAAGGGAAGCTGGAAAGGGGGCTCTAGCTCTGGTCAAAGAAAATGAGAACGATGGAGGGGACGCTGGGCAGCCCCCACCACGAGGATCCTTGAGTAGACTGGAGGCCGGATTCACGACCAACACAAGTCAGGGGCTGGCAAGCTTGGCCATTTCTAGGAAGAGATAAGAAAACAGGGGTCAAGCACAGGAGAGATTTCATTGCGCCGCCTATTTTCTGGTGGTTGCATTTTCTGTCATGTATTACCTTTAAAAAAATAATAAAAGTAACTTTATAGGACCCAAGGGAAATTCAAAATTCCACAGGCTGGTCAAGGCTTTGAGGTTGCGGTGGTGAAACCCCTCAGGCCAGGCGCCGTGAGGGACCCCTCCGCGCTGGCTCAGAAGCTGAATCCGCCCGGGCTCTGGCGGCCAAAGGCGCTGCGGCCACAGCTCCGCGGCGGCACCAGGAAGGCTCCAGGCTGGGAGGAACGGCCAGACCCGCCCACGTGGGAAGCACCGTCGCGCCTGCGCAGCGGGGCCCGTGATGCCCCGCTTCCACTCCGCGCCTGCGCACTGGTCCCGCGACGCCCGGCCGGCGGGAACGTGGCCTGAAAGTGGGCGGGGCCCAGGCCCCGGGATCCGCGGGTTCGCTGCGGCTCGCGAGTGGAAGTCGAGGTGACGCCGGCCCGGGAGGGAGAGCAGGGAGGCACCCTCAGTCGCCCCTCCGCCCCCTCTTCCGGGAACGACGCCTCCCTCCGGAGGTGGGGCTGAGGGGCCGTTGCAGGGTAATGGCGAACCTGGGGTGGGTGCGGGGCCGGAGGGGTCTGCGGGTCTGGGGTGACTGACAGCAGCGGATGGGCCCGCGGACGCGCCGCTGCGCCGCGCCCTGGAGTGGGGGCCGGAGCGGTGGAGGGTCGCGCGCTTCTGGCATGCGGAGCCGCGCCAGAGGCCCCTGTGCTGCCTGGCGCCTCGGGGCTCCAGCGGCGGCGCGGGAGGTGGCCCGGGCGTGCCTCGCGCGCTGCTCTTCGCTCCCGCCGCCTTCCTGTCCCAGCTCCGTTCGTTCTCCCGGGACCCCGAACTCCGCTGACCCAGGAGGGGCGCAGTCAGTGTTCTGGCAACGCTGCTGCATTTATTCAGTAAGCCAGCGTTTGCTGCCCCTCTTCCCAGCTCTGTGCCACGTGCAGCAGCCTTGTGGGTCTTCCGGTAGGAGGACACAGCGTTTGCAAAGGTATTTGCTGAATGGGTAGACACGTTTAAAATAGGGGGAGGACAGGCAGGCCCCTTCTCTCTGGGCTTCACAGCCCTGTTGGAAAACCCAGGGAACAGGTGCGATTATGCCATTCAGACAGTACTGAGGATGTGAGGACAGTGACCTCTGGCATTGGAGGGGTGACCAGATGAGCTTATGAGGTGGATAGAGTGGCTTTGCCTGAGCTGACCCATGAGCCAGGAGTGCTCCAGGCTGTGGGAGGAAGAGGCCCTGCGCTGGACACCAGGCTGGACTCTGTTCAGTGGAAAGCAGTGAGCAGCCAGGAAAGATGCGCAGGGGACCATGGAAGGAAGGGTGATTTTTATTTTAAGTGAAGTTAAAAGCCACAGAATGGTTTAAAGGGTTGTAGAAAAGGCCGAATAGCTCTGTAGATTATTGTGGACACAGCCCCACATTCTGGGTGTCCACCCAAAGGAATCAGTCATCTGGAAGTAACCTAGGCAGCTCCAGGTGTCCCTCCAGGCACATGCATTCCAGGATTTTGTGTGTGGAGCCACACAGCCTCCATCCTCTGGGATGCAGAGGTGGTCCTAGCTCATAGCCTCCAATGAGGGAGTCTGAAACTTTTAGGAAGGAGGTTCCTTGAGGGTAGACGAATGTTGATTGTGATTACAAAGGGCTCTGTGACCGGCTGTCCAAGAGCCATGATGCCTGGGGATCTTTTCCTATTGGCATTACCATGGCATGAACAAGGTTCATGAAAAGCCTAGCAAGCGTAATGATACAAGCCCAGAAATTGGTTTTTGCTCTTCCCCACATCTGCCCTCAGAAGTGTCATTTGACTAATATGGTGTGTGTCCATTTTCCTCTTTGAACTTTACGTGAAGAACCAGAGAAGTGGACAACTGAGTAAAGAGGTCTGGAAGTGCCTCCCTCCCACTGTATCCTATGAAAAGGAAACAACAGGTGGTATTGGTAGGGCTGATTCATGTATAGTTTTTTGTTGCAGAAAAGGGGAGAAAAATCCATTTAAATCTACCAGGAGAATAAGTAGTGGTTTGCTAACGTGCTTTGATTTTGTGCACATGGCTGTTTTGTGTTCTTTAACTGAAAACCTTGAAGGAACTGGCCAACAGATTAGGTGGCCACCATCCAAATCAGAGAACCCTTGTATTTCTGAGAGCTGATCTGCCGTCCCCAGCTCCTAGAAACCTAGCGAGGTGTGGAGCAGGCACCTGCCTCCGACACCACTGCCCCACACCCAGATTCTCCTCTCTGACCCCTGCCTGCTCCTGACAGGGTGACCCGGACAGGAGCCAGCTGGGAGCAAGGTTTGCTCAGCATAAGCTTTCTGTTTGCCTTTATGCCTTGCCCCATCCCCAAGCCTACTCTGCATTCCTTACTGCCTTGTTTTCTAGACTTTCCTTTACAGAATAAAACTAGACTAAAGTTGCTTCCTTGGTGAACCTCTAGGGAGGCCTGATCAAAACATTTATACTACAGTATTAGTGCCCATGGAAATGTGATTTGTCTCTCCTGCAGGCATCTTAGCTCTGGACAAACACCTTAACCCAGTGGAATGAAATTGGCTTTTAAGTATAGCCTCAGGGGCTTGGAGGTGCATGTGGGCCAGGATGTTCCTGGCTCTTTGCTCCCACAATGTTCTGTTGTGTTTGGACTGTTTATGTCACCTTGAACTTACAGTGTGTAACTTAAATGATTGTGTGTATGTAATTTCATGTGTGCTTTTTGGTTGTCTAAAGGAGAGTTGTATTAATAGAGGAAGGGAAGTAATGAAGCACATTTTGTTGGAAGCCAAAAAGTTTTTCTGTGCCTCACCATGTGAACCTGTGTGATCCCAGGCAAGTCTGTTTATAAACATTCCCAGGGCCTTGGTATGGTCGTATGCAAATAAGTCTTTGTATGTTGTATGATGTAAGTGCCAGCTTTGTGGGCCTCTGGTAATAGAATATAGCATATGTAAAGGTGTTTGTTTTTTAGCAGGTAGACAAATTTAATAAAGAGCAACCTTTGCCTCAAAATATGTTATATCACTTGTTAATCTAATCTTGTAGAACATAGTTCTACAAGACTAACTTAGAACATGATAAAACTTGGTTATGTAAATGGATTTTATAAAGCACTTTCACATTTGTAAGACATTGCTTTTGTGTCCTCACTGTTCATCCTTGGAAAGAGCTGCTTTAGAACTTTTTCTATAGAATTTTTTTTTAATATATATATATTTATTGATTTCAGAGAGAGGAAGGGAGAGGGAGAGAGAGAAACATCAGTGATGAGAGAGTCATTAATTGGTTGCCTCCTGCACACCCCCTGCTGGGGATCAGGCATGTGCCCTGACTGGGAATCGAACTGTGAACCTCCTGGTTCATGGGGTGACACTCAACCACTGAACCACACCGGCCAGGTGCTGTAAATACTTTTTAAATGATCACTTAGCAATGGGAACTCTGGGTTATATAACAAAAGGAGGCCTATGAGAGGGGCAGTTGTGGGTAAATGGGCATTCCCCAGATTGTGTCTCAGCTTCTGTTCATCCCTGGGTCTTCTCTCTGTTGCTGACTTCTTCACTTCTGATCTCAGCTAACATCCCCTTAATGCAGGTAGTTCCCCAGGCCCAACCCCAAACCTATCATCTCTCACAGAGCAGTTCCATATCTAACTGATGTCCTGCTGTCATTTCAAACTCAGCATGTAGAAAACATGGTCACTTCTGTCTCCTGGCAAACAGCCCCCTCCCGAATGGCCTACTTCTATTGGTGGCTATCACCCAGGTCCTGGAGCCTCCTCGGTGAATTGGTGAATTGCTAAGCTCTCAAGCTAGCCTTCTTCACCAGCAAGTGTTGGCTGAGTGGCTGCTGGACTCTGGCCTTGGGTCAGAGGTTGGAGATCTGGGATGAGTGACCTAGTTCCTGCTGCCAGAGAGGCACTGTCTAACCAGAAGGAAGAGAGGCACTCCGCCTACTCAGGGTGAGGAAGTGTGTAGAGCACCAAAGAGCCTAAGGGAGGAGCCTCCAGCTGCCATGGCTCAGAGTGGCAGTAAGCATCTTGAGTAGGTTTTGCAGAGGTGTGGAGAAAGGACCAAAGGAAAAGGATTCTTAAAAGAAATAATATTTGAGGCAGGAAGTCTCAAGACATGACCTGTTGCCTTTGTTAAGAGAGTAAGGTGTGCCCGGCTGGCATGGCTCAGCGGTTGAGCATTGACCTATGATCCAGGAGATTGGGGTTCGATTCCCAGTCAGGGCACATGCCCGGGTTGTGGGCTTGATCCCCAGCAGGGGGCGTGCAGGAGGCAGCTGATCAATCACTCTCTCATCATTGATGTTTCTGTCTCTCTTCCTCTCCTTTCCTGTCTCTGAAATCAATAAAGACATTTTTAAAAAAGAGAGTAAGGTATGACTGGCTACTTTAAAACAGTTTGAATTTGATACAATAGTCAGGCCCAGCCCTCTTCATTTTCCTCCCCCACCACTGCCTTTAGTCCTACATCCACAAAACTCATTTGTTACCTTCCTTGCTTCAGAGCCATTAAAGGATTTTTTTTTTTATTGTGATAAAATATACATAACATAAAATTTACCATTTTTAAGTATAGAGTTTAGTGGCATTAAGTACATTCACATTGTTGTACTGATTACCACCATCCATCTCCAGAACTTTTTTGTACCTGAATTGAATCTCTGTACCCATTAAACAATAATTCATCTCCTGCCTTTCCCCAGCTCCTAGAACCATTTTTTCTGTCTGTATGAATTTACTACTGTAGGTAGGTACCTCATATAAGTGGAATATTTGTGTTTGTGTGACTGGCTTATTTCACTTAGCATAGTCTCTTCAAGGTTCATCCATGTTGTAGGATATGTCAGAGTTTCCTTTTTAAGGCTAAATGATATTCTATTGTATGAATATACCACATTTTCTTTATCATTCATCTGTGGATAGTCATTTGCCTTTTCCTACCTCTTGGCTACTGTGAACAGTGCTGCAGTGAACATGGGTGTGCAATAATCTCAAGACCCTGTTTTCAGTTCTTTTGGTGACATACTCAGAAATAAGATTATTGGATCACATAGTAATTTTATTTTTAGTTTTTTGAGGAGTCTCCATACTGTTTTCCTTAGTGGTTGCAACATTTTACAGTCCCCCAAGGTTTCCAGTTTCTCCACATTCTTCCCAACATTTGTTATTTCCTGTTTTTTATAGTGGCTATTCTAATTTGTGTGAGGTTATGTATTGTCATGTAGTGTTGCATATCGCTAACGATTAGTGATATTAAGCATCTTTTCATATGCTTGTTGGCTGTTTGTATATTTTCTTCCGAGAGATGTCTATTTAGGCCCTTTTTTGAATTGGGCTATTTGTTTTTTGTTGTTAAGTTTTAAGAGTTCTTTATATATTACAGATTTTAATCCCTTATCAGATATATGAGTTGTAAATCTTTTCTCCCATTCTGTGAGTTGCTTTTTTTCTCTGTTTTTAGTGTCCTTTGAAGCATAAAGGTTTTTAATTTTCATGTAGTCCCACTTGTCTATTTTTGCTTTTGTTGCCTGTGCTTGGTTCTTATCTAAAAAATCATTACCAAAATAATATGAAACTTTTCTCTGATTTCTTCTAGGAGTTTTATAATTTTAGGCTTTACATTTAAGTGTTTAATCCATTTTGAGTTAATTTCTGCATATGATGTAAGGTAAAGATCCAACTTTATTTTTTCATGAGGATATCCAGTTTTCCCTTTATCATTTATTAAAGAGACTATCTTTTGCCCAGTGAATGGTCTCAGTACCTTTGTCAAAGATTATTTGATAATATACATTAGAGTTTATTTCTGGGCTCTTACTCTATTCCATTGGTCTGTGTGTCTGTCTTTATAATACTGCGGCAATGTGTTAATTGCTATAGCTTTGTAGTGTGTTTTGATATCAGGAAGTATGAGGCCTCCAACTTTGTTCTTTTTTTTTTTATTGTTGAGAGTATTACAGATGTCCCCCATTTTCCCC